GAGCCCCGCCGCGGGCAAGGGCAGGAGGCAGGTTCTGCATGACGTGGCCACCAGCAGCCATCCTGCTGACGCAGGCACCAGGCATCTGTTTGGCCTTGATGGAGACCAAACCCTCCATGTTACGCTGTAACGGCCTTTAACGAAGAGGCGAATTAGCCCTGTGGCTCCTGGTGAAATTAGGGAGAGCAGCTAAGCCCCTAACTGGCTTCCTAAGCCTCAGTCCTTCAAACTAATCCGTTCAAACCCATCCCTGCACCGACTTCGCAGCTGTAAGTCACACTGCGATTAAGGGGGAAGGTACGAGGGAGGGAGGGAGGAAGGCAAGGCCGTTTGGAGCCCAGCAAGCGTGAGAGGGGGATATTTAGGTATTCTGGTGGGATGCAGCAAAGAATAAAACAGTCTCTCCGGCTACAGTGGGCCTCGTATTAGTGTGGCAGGAGTGTGGTACCACAGTGGATTCACCATGTGCTAAACAAATTATTAAAAACAAAGGTAGAATTTGACATCTGGCAGCTGAAAGAAGTCTGGAGATTTGTGTTTAGAGAAGAACATCCTGTATCAGTCTTCCATGTGTAAAAACACGCTCACACTTCCGCTTCTGTGAAAAGCTGCAGGGAAATGCATTCCTGAATACATTAATAAGGAACATCTCCCACTAATTAAGCTTAATTTGCAATTTCTGTCTTTCCCCTTCCACAGGATGCTCTACAAGTTCTTTTCTTATCTTTTTCCCTCCACCAAAGCCTCTAAAATGTGGGGTTTAGGGCCAGCAGATCCTAAGCACTGCAGGAAATTTCTGTCCTGTGAAATTTTCCTTCCTTGGGAATTTGCTCCTCCTGGTATTGGAGCTTGCTTGGGTCCTGCTGCATGAGCTGGGTAAAGATCCCCTGTGTGGGGACACAAAAATCAAGGTGGGCAAGTGGCTGTTCCCCCTGGGGAGAAGGCCAAGAAGGACTTCTTGCCCATCAGGGACAAGGGCAACCCTGCACATTGGGTGCAAGTGAGGCTACAGCTGAGATGAGAAGAGTTGAGAGAGAGAAAGTGAAAGGTGGAGAAAAACAGGTGATACAAAGGAAAAGAAAATGGAAAGCGCATGTCTTAATTTGAGAGCTATAAGCTGGAGTTTTTAGAAGATGATCTGGTGTCTCCTGAAAACCATATATTCCCATCTAGTTTAATACCACTGAGCTAGGGAAGACTTCTGAGTAACAGGGTGAAAATGTAAGTTTTATGTTTCTTCTTTGAAATAGCTGGTAAAAATGCTCGGCTATGAAATCCAAAGGGGCAAGAGGGCAATTTTAAGGTCACGTTAAAAAAAAATAGAAAAAGGTTAAAAGTCCTTGAAGGAAATGGATAAAAAAATCCCCTGAAAGAAATGTATCCTTATGAGTCAGCACCTGAAATTCAATTTCTGCTCTAGAAAACAGTACAGCTTGCTGTGTGTGTCTGCCATGCAGCCACATCTCACTTCACTCAAACTAGAAAGCATAAAGGCAGGCACATTTCTGTACAAATAAAGCCTCAAATCAGCACCAAACAAGAAATACATATCTCCACGCTGCACGTAGGTTTCTATTCTAGTCATGCGGATCGAGACCAGAGAGTTAAATGGGGACAGGGACATTTTTTTCGCAGTGTGGTGTGCGGTTTTTGGAAAGCACGGTGAGGAATTTTTGCTGAGGATGACCTATTTGGAACAAACCCAGCAACTTTTGAAATGCCACTCTGGAGTTCAATCAGGCAAGTAACTAAGGCAAACTTGGACAGGCAGGAAAAGGGAAAGTAATAAAAGAATAATTCATTCCTGACACTAAACCATGCAGCCGTCTGTTTATTAGGGAGAACTTTAGGTAAAAATCTGCTCTCCACCCCTCAAAAGGTGTTTTCCTTAGGATGACTATGCAATATTAATGACTACACTGGTTATAGCTCTCTGCTTTTTATGTGAATATCGGGTACTGTAGCTGGAGGAGAATGCAAAATGGCAGAGTTTGAGACTGAGGAGGGTCTACGTGACCTCAGCTACTTCAACGGCCGTGGAAGGGGACACGTCACCGCAGCATGATGGTGTGTGGGATGCAGGCACTCAGTTATGTGGCATTACAGCATTTCCCCAGAAACCCCTGGAGAAGGGTGAAAAGGCAGATTCAGCAGATTCTCAGTTCTGGAGCAGGCCTGAATTCATATTTTACATAGTCAGTAGATAAGTCAGCAATGCTATGAGTGAGTTAGCTAATAGGTACAGCCTTAGCACCTAGCATCAGTGAGCACAAACCAACCCTTCTTCGAACACTTCATTACTTGCAGAGTTAGAATCCAGGATTACCACTTCTAAGAGAGGTGCATTAACAAAAGGAACAAACACAATTTCAGACTATGTCAGACTTCATAGGTATTTATGGAGCATTTGCAAATCAGTTGCTAGAACCATGTGAAGTGAGATTCATCCCATAATGTTAGAAATAGTCCTTTCAGTTAACAGCCTGTCTTGTTCTGTGGAACCATACTTCTATTCTATCTTGCATAACTAAAGTAACATTTATACAACAATTAAAGCTTACCATTGCTGTAAGACCGAAAATTTCCTACAAATTTTATGTATTCATATGTTGGAAATTCCTTTGGGTTCAAACTTCCTCTCAGAAGATGACAATAAAACTCTAGTTCATTGTCGGCTGGATTGTTAAAAGAAGAAGAAGAAGAAATAAATATACCATTTAAACTAAATACAATGAATGGTGCCTTTCAACCCCAATCTTGCAATCGGCAGCACGAGAGCAGCTTGTTACCACTCAGATTCCCACACACCAATGTACTATAAATTGCAGGATCAGTGCCTCTCTGAGGAAATGCCTTGCAGGAGATCCAGGACGTTCAGCACTGTGCACATGGCTGGGTTTAGCTAACTTACATTCTCTTACACCATCTTCCTCACAGGAGTAACCCAGAGAAATTTTTTTTTTTTTTTCTGTTTAGGCTTATAGTTGTTCTATATCTCATGTCGGAAAAGTGTGCCTAATTACCTCAAAAATTTCTATCAAGTTAACTTTGGCATATTAGCTATCAGCTGCATGCTTTGTATTTACAGTAGATCAAGCAGCTGCACATCTTATATTATCTTGTGCTTTCTGGGTGAGGCAAGGCAAAGGCTTTTTAAGAAAAACAAAATTCAATTAGAGAAAGAATTACGATGATTTTACAGATACTTTTCAATTGTAACATAAAACAAAGGTGCACAACATTAGCGTATCTCCAAACAGCATCTTACTTTAATAGGCTGAAATATCAATTAAGATGTGATTTGTCTCAGGCGAACTCTCGGTTTCCATTGGCTAACCTATTTTCCTTAGCTGTCTCAAAAGAGACAATGTTTAATAATTAACTCAACTGCAAGCAGTCATAGCCTACTAAAATAAGTGCAATGAGTTTAATTTTAAAACAGTACTGAAGGTCATTCCAGGTGGCAAGATCTTTTTAAAATGCTATGGACATAAGATGCGTATTGCGTGTTACATAAAAACCTTTTCTTTTGAGAGAAAATTCCTACCCTGCCCATGCTTTTTCACGTATTGGGAAAGACAAAATAAAACTCACTTTTTAGGTAATCCGATGAGGCAGAATCTGTCATAAGCATACAAGAAGACAACATCTTATAAATTTCTGAATGTTCTTGTTCCGGCAGGAAATTCAACAAATTCTGATCCAAGACATCGCACTGCAAGGAAAAAGATATCTTGAGAAACACAGAACTCTCACCACATAGGGCAGCGTGGTGCGCGCCTTCCCTGTCACCCCCTTGCTCCAGTGTCTGCGGCCAGCTAGAGGGGCCTACGCAGGGCACACGGAGCCTGGGGTCACTGGGAGCTTC